AGTCTGACGCAGGCCACATTGAAGTGGTGCGACTGCTGGTGGAGGCAGGCGCCGACAAGGATGCATGTTAGGAGGGCAAACAGCACCCTAAACCCTAAGCCCTAAACCCTAAACCCTATTTAAACCCTAAGCCCTCAAACCATCATGCTTCACATCCTTGCCTGCGCCCGTCTGGTCGCACGGTTGCTGGAGCAGCGTTGCATCCAACGAGCACTTGTTCAGCCCGCCGAGCTCTCCAGGCCACATTGATTTAGGGTTTAGGGTTTAGGGTTTAGGGTTTAGGGTTTAGGATTTAAGCCAATTTGTGTCGAAGGCCACTCAAAGACTAAGTCAGAGCATTCCTGAGAGTTGACAAAGCGACGTCAATGCTCATGCAGGCCAACGCCGACAAAGACCTGGTTGCCAAGGTTCATGACGGCACGTAACAAGTCCGCGATGTGCACCGGCACCCCCAAGAACCTCCCCAAGCGAAAGTTATCAAACTCGAGGTTCCTAAAACCCTAGTCAGGGAGAGCTTTTTGTGAGTTTGTTTTTTTTGGGGCGGGCTCTTAAGCAAACAGTAGCGAACCACCACTTGAACCTGATAACAATAACCCCGAGTCCCCACAAAATCTCAGCCCCATCGCAAACCCTGAGCCGTGGGCTTCTTTTTGGGTGCTGTTGTGACCAAACCCTAAACCCTAAACCCTAAACCTTGTATAAACCCTAAACCCTAGACCCGAGCTGTTTCCAAGAGCCTCGCTCATCTGGCATCTTCTTGTCGCGATGACCAGCTGAGTTGCGTTTCGAACCCTGAACAGACGGGAGGCAACTGAGCCTCAATTCTCAAAGAGACGCGAGAAATAGTTGTGGATTTCCATGATATGTATACAGCCTATTGAAGATTTTGGTACAAGTTGGTAAGGAGATGAACTTCTGTAAAATGGGCTCTTCTAATTCTTTCCATGTGGGGTTTAGGGTTTAGGGTTTAGGGTTTAGGGTTGAGGGTTTTCCATGAGGTGGCCCTTGGGTGCCTCTTTACCGGCAGCCTTTCCAACGCCCTGCGCGGGCGAACCAGCGTGGAATGGAGCTATCCAGGCTCACAGCTTGAAGGATGAGAGTTTAGGGTTTAGGGTTTAGGGTTGAGGGTTGAGGGTTTAGGGTTTAGGGTTTAGGGTTTAGGGTTTAGGGTTTAGGGTTTAGGGTAGGGGGTTTGGGTTTGTAGGTTTAAGGGTTTTCAGAGTTTCGGGCGAACGGGGGTTGTAGGGTTTAGGGCTACGGACGGTAAGCAAGGTTTACGGGGTGTCGGGCTTAGGTTTTCACAAGCAGCCTTGGGCTAAGGGCCTCACCGAGCGCCTATGCAGGCTAGCGTTTTGCATCATTTCGGGTTTAGGCTTCGGTCAAGGGTCTGGGACCCAGGGCAAGCCCGTTTAACCCAAAACCGACACCCTTTTTTGGGGGGTACCTCTTGGGTCTAGGGCCTAGGTATTTAGGGTTTAGGTTGTGGGCCTGAAGATCGTCCAGATGAAATTTGGGTGCACGACATTCCCTGACGCGAGCTCCCACCTGTGCCCTTAAGGGGGGGCGGGTGCTTACTTCATTGACAAAGGAAGCCCAACACCCCTAAACCCCAAACCCCAAATCCAAAAAAACCCTCAATCCTATAAACCCTAAGCCCCAAACCCTAAATCCTAAACCCCAAACCCTAAACCCTCAACCTTAAAGCCCGAAACCCCAAACTCAGGTGCAGCTTAAGGTCAGTGTCGAATTCTAGACCCTACAGGCCGTGTAACTAGGAGCCACAGTATGCGCTTCGTAGAGGGCCCTTATTGGGTTTAGGGCTTAGGGCTAGGACCCAGCTTAGGCCCTTATTCTTGTTTCTAGCAAAAGCCTTTAGAAGCCCTGTAAACCCTATAAGCCCGAAAATTAGACCCTATAAACCCAGAGAAAGCCCCCACGAGGCCTATAAAGCCTGTTTACCTCATATCTATAAACCCTATGAACCATATTAGCCCTAAACCTAGACCCTGTAAGCTCAACAAAAAGCCCTCACAAGCCCTGCAAACCCTACAAGCTTCACAAGCCCCAGAAAAAAAGCCCTAAGCCCTGAGCCCTAAACCGGAAAACCGAAACCCTAAACCCTAAACCCTAAACCCTAAACCCTAAACCCTAAACCCTAAACCCTAAACCCTAAACCCTAAACAATAAACCCTAAACCCTAAACCCTAAACCCTAAACCCTAAACCCTAAACCCTAAACCCTAAACCCTAAACCCTAAACCCTAAACCCTAAACCCTAAACCCTAAACCCTAAACCCTAAACCCTAAACCCTAAACCCTAAACCCTACCCTGTTCATCCCTGGGAGCGCTGGACAGCGCAGGTCCGAATCCTTTCAACCTCGGGCCTCTTCGCCCCTTGGCCCACCGGGGGTCGGGAGTTTAGGGTTTAGGGTTTAGGGTGTGGGGGCTCAGGATTTTTCAGGTTTGGGTTTTAGGGTTTGGGGGTTGAGGGGTTTAGAGTTTTGGGGTGTCTCGGGTTGAGGGGGCAGAGTCTCAAGCGCTTTTGAGGGGTTTAGGGTATAGGGTTTAGGGTTTCAGGGTTTAGGGTTTACGTTTTAGGGTTAGGTGCAGAGTAGGGATTCACTGCATTGTCTACAGGATCCCTCCGGGACACATGGCATCAACCCTAAACCCTAAACCCTAAACCCTCAACCTTAAACCTGAAACCCCTCAAACTGTAAAGGGGCCCCCGACTGTGCTTGCCGGGGGGGTGGAGAACCTCCGGCGCCAGTCGGCGCTTTAGGGTTTAGGGTTTCGGGAGCGTTCAAAGACTCAAGGCCCCCAACAAGGACACTCATCCGTTTTAGAAGGAACCGTATATGGTCACTTCTCTAACTTCGGGTCCCGCTTTGGGGTACCCTATATATTAGAGACAGCCTTATCATGGTAACCACAACAGGGACCCTAGCATAGAGAATCCGCACAAGCCAGAGCCACGAAAGTACCCCTTCAATCTTGAACCCTAAACCCTAAATCCTAAACGCTAAACCCTAAACCATTCTACACACTAAACCTTAAACTCTAGGCCCTCAACCCGAAAACCCGCCACAAAACCCTAACACCCCAAACCTCTAAACCCTCTAGCGCCCAAAGCCCCCTACGCCCCCTCAACCCCTGAACCTAAACCCTAAACCCCTGAACCCTAAACTCTAAACACCTGAACCCTAAACCCTAAACCCCTGAACCCTAAACCCTAAACCCCTGAACCCTAAACGCTAAAGCCCAAACCCTAAACCCTCAACCCTCAACCCTCAACCCTAAACCCTAAACCCTAAACCCTAAACCCTAAACCCTAAACCCTCTCAAAGCAAGGTAACCTCGAGCAGATCCTGGGACCTCCCAGCGCAGCATGGCTCGTCCCCGTGAAGGCTCAGGATCGACTGTGCTGGTGTGGGGTTTAGGGTTTAGGGTTTAGGGTTCAGGGTTTAGGGTTTAGGGTTTAGGGTTTAGGGTTTAGGGTTTAGGGTTTAGGGTTTAGGGTTCAGGGTTCAGGGTTCAGGGTTTAGGGCTTAGGGTTTAGGGTTTAGGGTTCACACCTTGTGTTTGGTGTCTATTGCTTCGGGTTTACGGTTTAGGGTTTAGGGTTCAAAAGTTAAGGGCTTCGGGTCTAGGGCCACAAAGCCTACACTTCTGTAGGTTACGATCATGAGAGCCCTTATGGGTTCAGTTTGTTTTGTAGGCACACCCTAAACCCTAAACCCTAAACCCTAAACAGCTCACAGGTTCTGAGGTAGTCTTTGCAAAGACAGCTTTGGGCCCTGAAGGTATGACGCCCGAAACAGAAAATCCTGGCTCAGGATTATTCTGTTTCCTGAATTTGGGTTTTGGGGTTTAGGGTTTAGGGTTTAGGGTTTAGGGTTTAGGGGTTAGGGTTTAGGGTTTAGGGTTTAGGGTTTCTGAATATGGTCCCTAACCTCCTTTAGAGGGTTTTGGGGGGGTTAGGGTTTAGGGTTTAGGGTTTAGGGTTTGGGGTTTAGGGTTTAGGGTTTAGGGTGTAGGGTTTAGGGCAACAGGGGCCCTAAGCCCTAAGCCCTTCACCATGGGATCTTCTGTATACCAGTGGTATTGTCGCTGGACAATGTTCAGAGTTGGGAGGCCGGGCCTCGGTTGCGTGCGAGGTGGACTGACTTTACGGATGTTACGGCGCTATGTTCCTAGGTCGGATAAGGGGGACCCTTAAAAGGGAACCCCTTCTTAACCCTCTTCTGGCTCTCTTAACAAGGGACCTTATTCAGAGGGTCTATATCCCCAAGGGTCCCCTAATCCTATATGTGCTTAAGGCCTCATGTGGGTACAGGGCTGAGGTTGAGTGGTCATAGGCTTTAGGCTTTACTGTAGGGTTTAGGGTGTAGGGTTTAGGGTTAGGGTTTAGGGTGTAGGGTTCCCGCTAACTTTACTTCTTCCCGCCTGATTTTTTTTGATCCAGCCAGTGGGTAGGTCGGACGGGGCGCAATCGCCCAAAATCCCTAAACCCCGGCCAGTTCCTTAAACCACGGCCCCTTCTTGCATACCGCGTACACAAAAAAACACGGGCCGCATCATACAAAAGCCACCAATTGTTCACCAAATCGTTGAACCCCCAACGACCCTGAGCCGTTTCCCTCAAAACCCTATAAACCCGAAACCCTAAGCCCCGCTTCGTTTTGGTTTTTAGGGGTCTGGGGTCCTCCACCCCCAGCCCTACTGGGACCCTATATACTACAGTTCAATAAAGTAAGTATCTCCGATTTAGTAGGTATAACCCCTTAAAACTGTAGGTAAGTAGGGTCACAGGTCAGCCCCCAACCCCAAACCCTGCTTGGAGGATGGGGGGGAAGGAGGACCCCATCTGGGGCTGCCAAGCATTTACTCAGTCTCCCCTGATCCTCCATTTGGGGTTTAGGGTTTAGGGTTTAGGGTTTAGGGTTTAGGGTTTAGGGTTTAGGGTTTCCAAGTACTACCTGGGGGAACTCTCGCGAGCCATGCCTGGTGACGCAGCTCCGGCAGTGCTGCGCATCCTTCGCGTCTCTGGGGAGGAAGTGGCTGCCCTCAGCGAGGCCGCTCTCAGGAAAAGACGCCGTTTAGGGCTTGGCCTTTAGGGTTTAACGTGGGAGGGTTTAGGGGTTTAGGGCACCCGAATAAAGTATGGTGCCCTTCCTTCTGTAGAGGGTTCTGGGGTGCGGACTGTGGATACATGCGTCCCCACACCACCCTAAATTCTGAGTCCGTAGCCCGCAGGGTGCACCTGCACTTCAATGGACCTGGATACCCCATAATGGCTCGTGGGACTGGATACTTCCAGAACAAGTGGACCTAGGTTCTCCCAACAAACCCTCATCACCCAACAAGCCCTCAACCCTAGAATCACCAAGTCATCCCCATCGAACTTTGTAGCAGCCCTGTATAGAAGCCTTAAACCCTCAGCCCTACGCCGTTCCTTCATGTACCCTGGGGACCAAGTGAACTTCACCCTAAAATTGGGGGTCATATACCCCACACCACCAAACTCCCCACTAAGGTACATGAACTAAAACCCTGTAGGGTTCATTTGGTCCCCGAGGATCAAGAAGCAAAATCAAACCCTGAACCCTGAAAAATCTCCCTTTAAAGGGTTCTGAAGTCCCTTAGTTTGTGTAGGGTATATAAGGGGTTAGTGTTTCGGGTTTCGGGTTTAGGGTTTAGTGTTTAGGGCTTGGGGTACCCTTTTGAGGGCTCATGCTCAGGGACCATGTAACTACCCTTAGATTCACCCGCTAAACCAGTCCGAGGACCAGGTGGAAGAGCTCTGGAATGAGCTGGGATCAACTGTGAAGGCGCTTCTTTGTGAGTTTAGGGCCGGGTTAGGGTTCAGGGTTTAGGGTTTAGGAAGGGCTTGGTTGGAATTTAGGGTTGGGTTTTTGCTGCTAAGGTTTTAGGGCTTAGGGCTCAGAATTTGGGGCTTAGGGTTTAGGGTTCAGGGTTTAGAGTTTACGGCTTGGGGTTTAGAAGGTTTTGGGGTCTCCGCTGTGGGTTTCTAGGTTGAGGGCTGATAGGGCTTAGGGTTTATGAGGTTCAGGGCTTCTACGGTTTAGGGGTGCAAAAACAAAACCCGCAAGGGCTTAGGGTTTAAGGGTAAGGGCCGGTTAGGGTTCAGGGTTCTGGTCGTTTGGGGGACCCAAAGAATGGAGCGTTTGGTTCATAAGCTGCCCTGGCAAGTTGTTATGGTCTGGGGGCCGACAGGCTCGTAAGGTTTCTGCTGTTTGGGGCAATTCCATAGAAACCCAAACCCTAAACCCCAAAGGCTACACCCTGAACCCTGTCAACTGCAATTCATAAGCCTTTGCTGTTTTTTGGAGTACTATAGTTTGACATTTTTTGCTTCTGCGTTACTACTATTGCTACTTATGCCTAGAAAGTATATGTTGTTTTTCAAGGTCTACTCCAAAGCAGGGTCAAACCCCTAACCCCCCAAGGCGCTGAAGCAGCATTTGCTACGACTGCCGGCCTTCACAGGCCCACCCGGTCGGGCTTGGGGGGCTTATAGGGCTTTCGAAACCTTAAACCCTAAATCCTAAACCCTAAACCCTAAACCCTAAATCCTAAACCCTAAACCCTAAATCCTAAACCCCTAAACCCCTAAACCCCTAAACCCCTAAACCCCTAAACCCCTGAACCCTGAACCCTGAACCCTGTATGTGTAGCTGCTTCAGATCTTTGGGGGCTAGGCTTCCGCGGGCTCCAGGGCCTTTGGGGCTTTGAAAGAGAATCGAGGATTTGGGGCCCTCGGTTTTTTAAAGGGTAGTTACAGGGGCCCGATCGTCCCTTACCCTGCTTAATGGGTTCTTACAGGGAAGGTTTAGGGTTGAGGGTTTAGGGTTTTGGGTTTTTTGAATATGGTCCCTAACCTCCTTGAGAGGGTTTTGATGTATGGGCCTTAAAAGTTGCGCAGGGTAGGGTCCCCTTGTAAGGGCCCATAGCAAGGGACCATGTACCTACCTCAAGAGGTTGGTCGAGGCTCTATTTTGTGTTTCAGGGATTGAGTTCTCTAGAGGGTTTTTGGGGCTTTTTTTGGTACTAGGGCTGTTAAATGCTTTAGGGCTCTCTCACGATTAGGGCTTTTTAGGGCGTTCCAGAGCTTTTTGGGGCTTTTCAAGGCCTTTGCGGTCTTTTTTGGGTTTTTTTGGGCCATTTTAGGGGGGTTGAAGGCTCCTGATCTGGAGGCATGTCGATCTACCGGCTCCGCCTAGTGCACGAGGGTGAGCTGATGCCGGACGAGGGGGGGGGGGGGGAGAAACACGTAGGTTGGGGTAGGGTTTGTGGTTTGGGGTCTAGGCTTTAGGGTTCAGGGTTGGTTTAGGGTTTAGGATTTAGTGTTTATGGTGTAGGGTTTAGGGTTTGCGGCTTAGGGTTGGGGTTTAGGGTTGGGGTTTAGGGCTTAGGGGCAATTGAGGGTTGTGAATGTACTGTGAACCATGAACCCTTCTAGCTTCGTTTGGTACCCAAGGCCCTTTCAGGGTTTAGGCTTACCCGGAACAGACCCTCTCTCATTCTCAAGGGGTAAAGGGAGGTAACCCTAGAACGGACCCTTAGTCTTATTCCCCTATATATATATATGCCTTATATAGTCCCTATATATCTCAGTAGCCCCAACCCTAACCCTAAACCCGACACCCTAACCCCAAGTATTCCTAAGGTCCCTTACAAGGGTTCCCTAAACCCTAGACCCTAAACTCTAACTCTGAAAATTGCTTTCTGGGCGCCACGAGCCGCTTGGGGCCTGGCACTTAATTCTCTCATCCCTTGGAAGGTTTTAGGGTTTTAGGGGGTTTTAGGGTTTTAGGGTTTTAGGGTTTTAGGGTTTTAGGGTTTTAGGGTTTAGGGTTTAGGGTTTAGGGGGTAACTTAGGCCCTCAAGTGGCAGATTCCGTATTAAGAGAGCTCGTTTGTCAGCACCTTGTTGCAAACACGCGGAGGATTCGCAGGACTGCCGCTGCCGACTGTATGAGGGACCCATCGAGCTCAGCGTCGTGGTGCTCGATTCTTTGGCGGTGCTCAAGGGTTCGGGGCTAGACTTTGCCTCCCACAACAATCAAGCCCTAAACCCTAAAAAGGTTTTTGGCTTGTTTGTTTTTCTTTTTCCTTTCTTGTGGGGGATGAAGGTTTTGGGATTTCAGGTTTGGGGGTGGGGGGTGGGTTTAGGGGGGGGGGGGGGGGTTCTAGCTTGGCAACGTTTGTTTAGGTACTTTCCCCCTTTGGAATCCACCTGTCGAGAAAGCCATAATATGCTCAGTTCTCAAAAACATGGTCCCTTTTTGCATACCCTAAATATTCGGGGCCGCCTTATAATGTTTAGGGTTTAGGGTTTAGGGTTGCCTCAACAAGGGACCCTAATTTAGAGCAGTGACCGTTTCGACTGGCATGGGAAGCTTTCGGTGCCTGCAGCAACTTGGGGACCAAATGAACCTTAAAATTGGGGGTTTAGGGTTTAGGGTTTAGGGTTTAGGGTTTAGGGTTTAGGGTTTAGGGTTTAGGGTTTAGGGCATGTCCCCCATGCTCGCTATTATCGTAGCAGCCAAAAAGTTGGAAACTCAGCAGCCTCAATCCCTAAGAGTAGAGTATTAGGGAGTCCCGGCACCATTCGTCCTTAAAAAGGCTTCCAACTTTTCCGGGGTTTACTGCAGGTATGCGAACAAAAACCCCTTTTAGGGTTCACTTGGTCTGCAAGGAAGGCGTTCCCTTCTAGCTGCAAGACGACTCTCTTAGCCAACCGCTCATCTTTGTGATTTTTGGGCTTCCCTGTTTTTAGGAACAATATAGTTTAGCCCCCTTTTTCCCTGGGTTACCCAAACCCTAAACCCTAAACCCTAAACCCTAAACCCTAAACCCCGACATGCTAAGCTGCTCTTGCAGCCAAGGACTTCGTGGCACTGGAGCCTTCCGACCAGAGAAGAGTCCTGACCGCCGTGCATGATGGCGGCCGGGCTTCTACCCTTGGGGGCCCGAATGAACCCTTGGCCCTAAACCCTAAACCCTAGCCCCTAAACCCTAGACCCGAAAGCCGAAAAAGTAAACCCTAAGCCCGAATGAACGAACCCTAAAAGGGTTCATGGTTCATATTCCCTGAATAATTAGGTATTTTAGTAACCCTAAAAGGGCTTGTGGTTTTTCATCTTCCCTTGGTAGGGATTAGAGAAACCCTAGAAGGGTTTCTTGGCTCATATTACCCTAGTAGGGAGTAGAGTCGTAGAGGGCAGACGATCCCAAATTAACAGGGTTGACTTGGTCCCCAAGGTTCGACGGGCTTAAGAGTTTGACCTCCGATGCTTCGGGGTTGGGGCATTTTGATCTGTGGACTCGAGCAAGCTGCTGCTGCATTTGAGGTTAGGGTTTAGGGTTTAGGGTTTAGGGTTTAGAGTTTAGGGTTTAGGGTTTAGGGTTTAGGGTTTAGGGTTGTAGAGCTTACACAGCCATGTGAGTCGTAGCCTTCAATCCAGGCACGGTGGCCGCAGTGGATGCATTTCTGCAGATGCCGGTTGATCCCAACGACATCTTCGAAGAGTTTGACCCGAACCTTTGTCATAGTTGGGTAACATTTTATATTTTTAAGGGTACTCAAACCCAATAAGGAATATAGATTTTAATTTTTAATGATATCCCAAATGAGGAATATAGATTTTAATTTTTAATGATATCCCAACCATGAGCTAGGAACCTGGACAACTTGTCAGAGACGCACGCGTCACTGCTGTGGCTGGCAGCGTCAAGGGGCAACGTGGATGTGCCTGGGAGACCAAATGAACCCCAAAATTGGGGTCATCTACCCATACTAATATAATCCCTTCTAAGGTAACATGAACCCCTACTACGATAATCCCTTCTAAGGCAACATGAACCATATACGCTAAAGGGTTTAGGGTTCATTCGGCCCCCAAGGTGGCGCGACTACTGCTAGAGGCGAGGGCGGATGTGAATTTGGTGAATGCCTACGGAACCACGCCGTTGAGCGCAGCGATCACTTACCACGGAGACTGGGATACCGTTCAGCTCCTGATCAAGGCAAAATCGGACATGGGGCAACCCATGGCAACCCTAAACCTTGTAAACCCTAAACCCTAAACCCTAAACCCTAAACCGCAAGGCCAATTCTGACATTGGTCATGCAGATGACGATGGTTGCACGCCAGTTTGGCTATCGGCAGAACGAGGCCGGGTCAAAATAGCTGAGCTGCTGATCCTATTGGGTGCCGACCCCCAGAGAGCAGACCATCGAGGACAGACGCCTTTGCTCACCGCGTGTGCCAGGTGGGCCATGCCTTGTGTTCGGGGAGCAAGAAATTGATGTCTAAATGCAGATACTGCATGTTATGGGCTACTTAGAATATCCTTTATACTTACCGGAAGTTGCCACGCTTCTTGGGTATTGTTATAGTTATAGGGCCCTATTGCCCTTTTGTCAAGGTTTTCCAGGTTCCTCTAGGCAGACGGAGCCTTGTACATGGGAACCATTCGACAGTTTGGACTGACCATGGGACGTGATCTAGCGTCAGGGACAAGCGCCGTTCCAAGCCCTAATCCCTATATTATAACCCCCGAAGCCCTGAGCGCTTGTAAAGTTTAGGGTAGCGTCGGGCTCTTTGACTTACACTCCTGCTGCACGTTGGCCGCACGTTGGATCCTTATGCTCAGCAGCTGACCTTGGGGTAGCTGACCCTAAACCCTGAACCCTAAACCCTAAACCCTGAACCCTAAACCCTAAACCCTAAACCCTAAACCTTAAACCTTAAACCTTAAACGCATACCCCTTGCGGCTCTCCTTGCTGTTTTTTTTTTTTTTTTAAATCCTCCTTTGGGATGTCCTGGCACCTGCAGTCTCATCTCTCCCTCTTAGGGTTTAGGGGTTAAGGGTTTTTATGGGTTTGGGGTTTAGGGTTTAGGGTTTAGGGTTTAGGGTTTAGGGTTTAGGGTTTAGGGTTTTTATGGGTTTGGGGTTTGAGGGTTTAGGGTTTAGGATTTTAGGATTTTAGGGTTTAGGGTTCAGGGTTTAGGGACCATGAGCCCAAATTTCCTATTCCCCACGCCTCTCTCTGGGACAAGATGAACCCTAAAATTGGGGGTCATGTCTTGTAATGCGGTTCAAGGTAATGCAGTAATTCAAAGCATAAACTCCGTTAGGGTTCGTTCAGTCCCCAAGGTCAGGGTCCATTGTGTCCCTAAACCCTAAACCCTAAACCCTAAACCCTAAACCCTAAACCCTAAGTTCTAAACCCTAAACCCTAAATCCTAAACCCTAAACCCTAAACCCTTAACCCACCATTGTGTCCCCAAGCTTATGCTCGTGCCAGGTGCCAGTGGGAGTTCGTGAAGTTCCTTGGTAGCCCAGTGGTGCCCTTTTCCTTTTTCTAGGTTCAAGGCCCCCTTGTAAAGTAGCCCTACCCCCTAAACCCTAAACCCTAAACCCTAAACCCTAAACCCGAGAATATGGTAACCTGCCGAGGTTCTTGCTGCTTCCACAGCTTTCGCTCCAGGAGCCGGTGGACGCAAACCAGGCGGACGACTATGGCAGGACGCCCCTGTGGTTTGCTGCAGAGCGACTTGGGGAACAAGATGAGGGTTTAGGGTTTAGGGTTTAGGGTTTAGGGTTTAGGGTTTAGGGTTTAGGGTTTAGGGTTTTAGGTTTAGCCCCAAAAGGCTTGTGGTCCGTGTCCAGTGCCTGAACAAGGGTAGAGCTGGAAGAGAGTCCCGATGGTAGGTTTAGGGTGGAGGTTTTAGGGTTTTTAAGGTTTTAGGGTGTAGGGACGTTACATGGTCCCTTAATACGGCCCCTTGCTTTCGTTGCATGGTCCCTTAATATGGTCCCCTTACCTTCTTTACAGGGTTCTGAAGTCTGGATTAAGTCTCCATTTTTAGAGGACCGTGTAACTACCCTAAGAAAGGAACGGCGAGTTCTCGATTGTGAATTTGCTTCTCTTTGCTGGGGCGGACAAGAACAAAGCGACGGACAGTGGTCAAACACCGCTCTGGATAGCTGCAAGTGCCTTGGGGACCAGATGAACCCGACAGGGTTTAGGGTTTAGGGTTTAGGGTTAGGGTTTAGGGTTTAGGGTTTCGGGTTTACATACCCTGAATAGGAATGACGCCAATACAGGGAGCATGACCCGCCCCCCCCCCCCCGTCCCCCCCCCCTCATTTTTTAGGGTTCATTCGATCCCCAAGGTAGAGGCCACCTGAACACCGTGCAACTGCTGATGATGGCTTGTGCGGACCGGGAGAAACTGGGACCCGGAGTTTTTGGGGGTCGGAAGGATTTCTAAAAGTGTTCCCTTATGGCCCCTTATATAATCATACTACAATAACCCCCCGACACCCTATTCTGATTATTAAGGCCCCTGTATTAGTCCCTCGCTTCCTTTCTTTCAGCCGGTTTGGATCTCTCTTATCGACTCCGCCCTACATACCAACAGCAAAGAAGCAAAGGCACCCTTTGTAATCCTAGGTGCCACTGGGGCTCCTGAACCCTAAGCCCGAAACCCAAAACCCTGAACCCTAAAACCTAAACCCTAAACCCTAAACTCCAAACTCAACGGGCCCATAGCAACCCTAAACCCTAAGACAACTCTTCATGGGTTCCCCTAAATAACCTTAATTGGGCTTCATGATCCCTAGATAGCCTCAATTGTGGGGGGAACCTAGCATAGAGGGGGGTAGTAGGGGAACCCATCCTAAACCCGAAACCCAAAACCCAATAAATCCTAAACCCTGAACCCTAATTAAACCCTAAACCCTAAACCAAATTCAGGGCCCATATTCACCCTAAACCCAGACCAAACTCTGGGACCGAGGAAGACAGATGAGAACGACCTTTGCCCAGCCGCCGTTGCCGAACAAAACGGCCACCCGGACATCGGGCAGCTACTTCGGACTTGGCAGCGCGAGGTGTGAGAAAAGCAAGGGTTTGGGATTTAGGGTTGAGGGTCTAGGGTTTAGGGTCTAGGGTCCAGGGTTTAGGGTTTAGGGTTTAGGGCTACTAGGACCCAGAGCAGGCCCATATTCACCTGTTTACGGTTTCAGTTTGTTTATCAGTCCCTTTAAGAAAAAAAGTGCGCCCTTTTCATTCCTAGCTTATTCTCTCGTCTAGTTGGGGCCCGGGTCTTTTTGGGGTAGTTCGCTAAAATAGGGTGCCTTTTGTGAAGTGTTCTCATTATCAGGGTGCCGTACCCCAAAAAAGGGGCCCATAATTTTAGAGCCCTGCCTGAACGCACCGAAGTCCCCTCCCCCGCCCCAGCCAGCAGCCTGAATGCAAGCTGTGCCAAGAAGTAGTGGCCGAACTCAACCCTAAACCCTAAACCCTAAACCCTAAACCCTAAACCCTAAACCCTAAACCCTATAGCTTGGGCCCCAAAACCCAAACCAAGCTTGAATCCACGTTCCTCGATCTGCAAAAAGCCTAAACCCTAAACCCGAAACCCTAAACCCTAAACCCTAAACCCTGAACCCTGAACCCTAAACCCTAAACCCTAAACCCTAAACCCTGAACCCTAAACCCTAAACCACCCCAGAGCTCCTCAAGCTCCCTTTATCTCATTGGCCTTCCAAACTTGTTCCTCCACCTAGGATGTAGGTTTTTGTGCCAGGGTTTAGGGGGAAGTTTGGGGAAGTTTACATGGTCACTTGATATGGTCCCTTACCTTCTTTAAAGGGTTCGGAAGTATAGGCCATTGGCTTTGCAGTGTGAGTGTGTGTGTGTGTGTGTATGTACAAGGGCTCCCCAGCTTCAGGGCCCACGTAGCTACCCTAAGACTCCCAAACCCGAAGCCCGAAACCCTAAACCCTAAACCCTAAACCCTCAGAAAACCCTAATCCCGAAACCCTCAGGAAACCCTCAGAAAACCCTCATCCCTCAACCCTCAGGAAACCCTAAACCCTCAGGAAACCCTGAACCCTAAACCCTAAACCCTAAACCCTAAACCCGACTCACGGCCCATATGAAGAGACCGGCTTCGGGTCCGGATCCCCTTGTTCTTTGCATCTCTAAAGCAGCGGAACCCTAAACCCTAAACCCTAAACCCTAGACCCTAAACCCTAAACCCTAAACCCCAAACCCTAAACCCTAATAACCCTAAACCATCAAGGGACTAAAGGAGGGACCCTCGTGAGGGACCTTAGGGGCTACTATGGGGGCTACTTAGGTATATAAGGACTATATAAGGTACATATATATATATATACATATATATATATACATACATATACATATATATACATACATATACATATATATACATATTATATATACATATATATATATATATATACATATATATATATATATACATATACATATATATATATATATACATAAACATATGTTTGTATATATTTTCTCTATATATATAGAGAGAGATATACATATATATATATATATATATATATATATACATATATATATACATATATATATATATATATACAGGGCTTATATAGGCGAATCCTAACCCTAAACCCGAATCCTAAACCCTAAACCCTAGGTCTCCTCCTAGCCCTTAAGCGCAGGAGCTACCGGGTGACGAGGGGAGCGGCTTCGCCTACCCCACCTACGACTCGGTGTGACTAAGGGCTGGTATAGGGTTTGGGGTTTGGGGTTTTAGGGTTTAGGGTTTGAAGATTAGGATTTTAGGGTTTAGGGTGTAGGAAGTATTGAGGTTTAGGGTTTGAAGATTAGGATTTTAGGGTTTAGGGTGTAGGAAGTATTTAGGTTTAGGGTATAATTAGGGTAGATGTGGGGCTGGGGTTTCGTGTGTTGCATTCCATGCAGGTTTGCCGTCTTGGGTGGGGAAGGGTTTAGGGTTTAGGGTTTGCTGCTTGGGGTTTAGGGTTTAGGGTTTAGGGTTTAGGGTTTAGGGTTTAGGGTTTAGGGTTTAGGGGGGAGTGGGTGGGTGGGAGGTTTAGGGGCTGACCTTGAGCCCTAAACCCTCCCATGCCGTGCTGCGTCTCAGAAAGATCGCTCCTAGTGGAGAAAAAGATGTGTGGGTCAGCTTCCCACTCAGAGACAGGCTTTAGGGTTTGGGGGGGGTTTAGGGTTTAGGGTTTAGGGTTTAGGGTTTAGGGTTTAGGGTTTAGGGTTTAGGGTTTAGGGTTTAGGGTTTAGGGTGTAGGGTTTAGCGTGTAGGGTTTAGGGTTCTTCGACATCTGATAGTATTCAGGTGACTGAGCCCATATTTGTGGATATGGTACCTCTGTGATCACCCGGGTGCTCAAACCCTGAAAGCCCTAAACGCTGAAAAAACCCTAAAGCCCTAGACACACTGATCCCTAAAAACCGCTAAGGGGCTACACCAAAGATTGCCAGAATGTAGAGAGCTGCCTGGCTTGAGGCTGCGCACCTCTGGTATTTCGAGAAATGCCTAAGAGTTCAATTAAACCCTAGAACAAGCAATGCCCACAAATTCCTAAACCCTAAGCCCTAAACTCTAACCCAAACCCTGAACCCTGTAAGAACCACAGCTCCACAACCCTCAACCCGCTCTTCTAAAAAAGGCGCGAAGCAGACGGCCCTCAGAATCACAGGGGAAAGCCCTAGAAACGCCTCAAGCACTGAACCCCCAAACCCCTAAAACCTGGGTTTAGGGTTTAGGGTTCAGGGTTTCGGGTTTCGAGTTTCGGGTTTCGGGTGAAAACCGTCACTTGCCCCCAGCTTTGAAGCAGGCCCTAGAATCCCTAACCGTAACCCGAAGCCAAGCCAGGTGAGGGAAGCCCCAACCCTAAACCCGAAACCCTAAACCCTAAACCCTAAACCCAACACCCCAACACCTCAACATTCTAAACCATATACGTGAGGGAAGCCACTACAGCTAAGAAATGGCTTGGGGTCGATTAGGGCTTAGCTAGGGTGCTTTAAACCCTAAAGACCCTCAAGCCGTTAAAACAAAAAAAACGCCCCTAAACCCTACACTCTAAACTCTAAACTTAAGGCGAACAGATTATTCACATGATGCCAAGAGGCGCTTGACGGTGGAAGCTCCAGTGGGCGCGACCTTAGTGGATGTGGCGAAGGCTGCCACAATGAGGGTTTAGGGGCTTAGGCGTTCAGGGGTTCAGGGTTTAGGGCTAGGGTTTAGGGTTTAGGGTTTAGGGTTTAGGGTTTAGGGTTTAGGGCTAGTATGGCTTTAAGGCTTTGAACTTGGGGCTCAGGGGTTTTTAAGGTTTGAGGGATTCAGGGTTACAGGGAGTCAGGGCTTTGAGGCCCCAAGCACAACAGCCTAAAGCCTAAGCCCTCAACCCTTTCATTTGGTCCGGGCTTGCAGCTCAAGGGTTTAGGGTTTTATTGTTGATTGTTTAGGGTTTAGGGTTTAGTGGTTCAGGGATTAGAGCTTTAGAACCCAGGATTACAGGCTTTAGGGTTTAGGGTCACCAATGGCCCATGGTGTTTTCAGCACATTCAGACTCCCTTCCCCCCCAGCCTAAACCCTGAATCCTATTTCAACCCCAAACCCCAAACCCTGAATCCTATATAAAGCCCAAACCCTAAACCCTGAATGCTATATAAACCCCAAACCCTAAACCCTGAGTCCTATATAAAGCCCAAACCCTAAACCCTGAATCCTATATAAAGCCCAAACCCTAAACCCTGAATCCTATATAACGCCCCAAACCCTAAACCCTGAATCCTAGATAAGGCCCAAACCCTAAACCCTGAATCCTATATAAACCCCAGGCCCTAAACCCTGAATCCTATATAAACCCCAAACCCTAAACCCTAAACCCTAAACCGCAAAGAGGAGCACGGCGTGGATATCCATGCGGCATGCGGGCAGAAGCTGCAGGTGCATGTTTGCATTTTGTGTGGGGCGGCGTAGGGTTTAGGGTTTAGGGTTTGGGGTTTGGGGTTTATGGTTTAGGGTGTAGGGTGTAGGGTGTAGGGGTCCTTACTAGAAAATGAGGGAATTCAGGGCCCCTATAGCTACCTTTTTAAGGGATTTTTAGTAGACTTTTCTTCCCAGGGCCCAAAAAAACCCCTTACTAAGAACCAGCCAGCGTTTTTTGGGTCAAGGGTTTAGGGTTCCTAGGTTTTAGGGATTAGGGTTGAACCCTAAACCCTAAACCCTAAATCCTAAACCCTAAACCCTAAACCCTAAACCCTAAACCCTAAACCCTAAACCCTAAACCCTAAACCCTAAACCCTAAACACAACCCTAAACCCTAAACCGTTTGGAGTTTGGGGTTTGTTGTTGTTCGGGGTTTAGGGTTCAAAGGCTGGATAGGGTTTGGGGTGGACCATTGTGTTTTTGCTTGGTGTGGTTCAGGTTCCTTTGCAAACCCTAAACCCTAAACCCTAAACCCTAAACCCTAAACCCTAAACCCTAAACCCTAAACCCTAAACCCTAAACCCTGGGGTCGAGTATTGCTGGGTCGTCGAGTTGCTCTGGCTTCGTTGTAGACGTCGTACTCGGACTCTTGGTAGCCCAGTGGTACCCTTTTCCCTTGTTTTGGGCTCTGGTTTGCCTTATTCCAACCCAACCCCAAAAAGGGTGCCCTTATTCTAAGATGGTTACTGGGCTTCCGTCGCAGAATTCCCCCCCCCCCCCCTCTCTGAAGCCACAACCTTCAATCCCTAAATCCTGAATGCCCGAACCCTAAACCCCCCCCTAAACCCTAAGCCCTAAACCTTAAACCTTAGACCGCGAGCTCACGCAACCATGACCCCCTAATCCCAAAACCCTAAACCCGAAACCCTAAACCCTACGCCCTAATCGCAGTGCGCCACCTGCCACCTCATCCTCGAGAAGCCTTTCTACGAGCGACTGCATGGTCCCGGCGTGCGTGAGGACGGGGGCGGAGGGCTTTAGGGTTTAGGGTTTACGGTTCAGGGTTAGGGTTCATGATTTTTGGGTCTTAGGTCTCAGCACGACGAAGGGTTCTAGGGCTTGGGAGTTATAAGTGGA